TCTACTTAACTCATTTTGTTTTTGTAAGTAAACTATAAGTGCACATTTAAAGATCTGCATTTGAAGTGGCTATTTAAAGATCTGCATTTGATGTGGCTATTTGAAGATCTGCTTACAGTATCAGAAAATCCATCAACAAGAGCTGTTTGTTAAGGTAAGTGCATTTAATTTAAACTGCTTTTACCCTCGTACAACTTGCACCAAAGAAAATTGTCTAGTCTTGATTAGTTGTTCATCTAAAAACAACTTTCATGTCCACATAACCCATACATTGAGTCGGCGCAAGTCAAGTTTGTTAACAAACTCATTAGCTTCTTATACATATAAGCTGCGTGTTTTAGGTCAAGTGAATTATTATTAAAACGTTAAACATCCAAGATATTAACAAAGAATCATCTGCCCTCAAGTAAATATGTGTGTAGCCCAGTATAGCTTAAGCTATATAAATGACCTAAAAGCCTAGTGTGTGTTGATCGACAAGCCAATGAAATAGGCTAATGACCATGACAATAGTAATTCGGTTACTTTTCTAGTGGTATATTAATGTCCAGTAATTGTTATGTAAAGAAACCACAAAGCCTTGGTCTAGCATCTAGGCCTAGCAGGCCTAGTCAATTGAATTGCTTCTAGGCCCATAGATATTTTAGGTAGGTACCCTACCGGTAGTTAAGTCCTAGTAAGGCCTACGCAGCAGAACCTTGATATGGGCCTATAACTCAACTGGTTAAATCGATTGTAAAAAACAGGCATAGGATCAGGTCTAACCAATATTTTCATATAAATCCATTTTAGCACTATTTACAATTGAACATTTTTTCTTTATGTTATCCAAGTTTTTTTGTTGGAAACTCTAGGCAAGTCTTATATGCCAATGCCTCATACTACAACTGTACCAAGTCACTCATCAGACATTATTTATTTTGCCTTCCTTTCTTGATTTCAGTTGCTACACAAAGGGTATTCAAAGATGGTTTCTCCCAGGCAACTACCGAGAAAAATGTGACAATGTGGCTGAACCAAGCTAAAACCAGATTAACTTGAAGGTATTTTAACAGTTTATCATTTCATGATAGGCCCTATCCAAATGAGTTGAAAACACATGTTATTTTTATTGATACTAAGTTAGTTGTTGTGCCCATGCTTTGCTTGGATAATGTGGATCTCTAAATCTACTGTGTAGGAACAGTGAGGCTGGTACCCCACACAGTTAGGCTATACCACCATACAAATTATACAGGCAAATCTCAAATCGTACAAATTATTTTAATTAAATCTTTTGTGCATTTGCATTATGCATAATTGTACTTTATCAATAATTTTGGGTTTGTAGGTATGACAGATTTAAAGAACCACATTGTTCACTTTTTTTGTTCTATGCCAATTGAGAAGCACAGAATAGTGCCAAACTTATTGCATAATCTGGTTAAATTAACCACAAAAATATGGTCTTAAATTTAATAAGATTTAAAATCATAGACAATAATTAATAAATAATTGTCTTGGGAAATCGTTAAGAGATTATCTTTATCCTATTCTTGTTATTTATTTTTAGGGCAGAAAGGAGAATTCAGCTGGAAAACAAGGAAGCCACACTGAAACTGTCCAACAAGAAGATGACATGTTTTAGGACTCTTAAGTGTGTTTTCTGCTCCTATATTATAAGAACCGCATATTTCATGTTTCTGTTTTGCATAAAAAATTTAATACACTACCTCAAAGTTGAATAATTATATATGTATAATTTATTTAATCTTAGTAAACTGCCTAGTGAGGTTTTGGTTTTATAATTCAATAATTTCTGTAAAAACTAAAAATGGTGTTGATGTACTAAATGTGTTTTTTATTGACCTGACTATTTATTCTCTTAAGTTTTTTATTCACCTATTCTGAGTTGTTAATGGTCACATTAGAAAATGTCTTTTTTTTGGCTCATAAAAACCCTTTAGTGACCGTGTTTTACTCAATATTCTTCTGTCACAAACTTATATAGAATAAATTATTTACAGCTATTTCGCAACCCAGATTGGAAAAGTTGCCACAAAAGAACCATAACAACTTTGTTGCAAATTTGGATGACAACTTTGCCGACAACTTTGCCCCTATGAAACTAGAAAAGTTGCCGCAAAGCTGACATAACTTTTCATGTTTCCCATGACAACTTTGTTGCATTGTTGCCATGACAACTTTGTTTCATCTTTGTCATGACAACTTTATTATTGCAAATTTGGATGACAACAAATTTTTTTGCTATCTGGGAAGTCCCTAATTCAAAAATTAAGTCAAAATTCTTCCCCTGGAATCCGAGATATACATGGTGACAATTAATTACTAGGACGACTTTACAACATTAAAATAAAAGGGATATAACAATCAAATTAGGGATATCATTACTGGCAATAGTAAGCTAACTACTTTTTTATGTGTACATGGTGATCGGATGTCACCTATGGGGGACGGCCTATGGGAGTAAATTGAAAATCTTAAAGCTAAGCATAGGTTGATATGTGCATCAAATTAAAGGTCTTGTTGAACTAAAAACAATTCCACAAACCGTACCTCAAACGGACAACCGAGTAAAAAATGACAGCCGTTAGTATTTTTTTAAGTTTATTTTGATCACACTTGGAAAATTTATTTATTTTATACTAAAGATTCGTCTCCACCAACCGAACATGTCCGCTGAACATTGTTCGCTAACATAAAAAAAGACGAACATTCCACAATTAGTCTGTCGAACATATGTTGGACGATCATTTAGCTCACGTAATCAATGTTCGCTTATAAGAGATGCGAACATATTGATTAGTTGGTGTTTGGTGATCGTGTGTAGTACTCAGCGTCTTAGCGTGCAAATCAGTTGCTTATTTGCTGCTTATGAGCAAGCAGAACATTCTCTTATTTCTTTTTTTAAACTCAGAAACATTGCAACCCACACGTATCGTCGAGAGGACTATCGTCGTTTTGAACAGAATATACTTTTGACCTAGCGGTACGGTACTGTTGACTTATTGAAACAGTGAAATATATCGTTTTATGAAATATTTGTCCTCGTAGGAACTGTTCACTAGGTCAAAATCCCATTAGGTCAAACTCATATACACTGCCTACGTTTTTAACACTTGTTGACCAAGTGGTACTGTTGACCTAACGCTACAGCAAAATATATAGTTTTTCCTACAGCTACCTAACAATGTACATGTTCTCTCACTGATTTGAGAAAGCAAAGTGGCCAATTCGCTCATCAGTGAGACAATGTTAACATTGTCTCACTCTAATTACTTTGTCTCACTCCAGATTTGCAACGTGAAGGCACGAAATAGTGAGCGCGTAACATGCAGGCAACGTCGTATGCACACAAAATACGTTGGCAGCACTGGCTGTAAATCAGATGGTCAGCTGTTGTACTGTTGTATTTGTCACTTCACATTAAATGTTATATCAAAGTTATATTAAAAGTTCACTTCTGTGTAAAAATAGGTTATGTTTCTTCACCAATTTATTTGTTTTATGGTAACTGTAGGAAAAGTATAATGTGCAACTCGAGTTCAAAGTACAATTGCCTCACTCGAGAAACCATTCCTCACTCACTTTTCTCACTAGTTGCACAAATAACTATTACCTAACCCGCCATGTTAAACTTCCCTATCCCAAGCGTGATGTATACAACTTCCTTACTTCTCAAGTGATGTAAAGTTGAAAAAAACTCACTCGGTGATGTAATGAAATCCATTTAATTAACATTGAGTGCTTAACTTGAAAAAATATCGTGTCGTAACTCTTCGGCCCAAGTAACACTTCGGCCCAGTAACATTTCGGCCCAAAACCCTCAGATGTGGCCTACGGTCCAACTCTCTACCTGCCCACTAGTAACACTTCGTCCCAACAAAATATTTTACAGGTTAGGTTAGGTTATGTTAGGTTAGGTTGGGTTAGGTTAGGTTAGGTTAGGTTAGGTTAGGTTAGGATAGGTTAGGTTAGGTTAGGTAAGATTCCACCGATTCTCCGTCATGTGAGGTCAGAGGATGCAAGGGGTGACGGTTAGGCGACATTCCACCAGAGGGTGGTTGCAAAGTATACAGGTCATGTACCTCTTACTACCTGAAATGCGTTCCTCAACCCTTGTCAATTTTTCGTCGGGCCGAAATGTTACTCCATTAGCTTATTTAATCATCTGTAAAAGCGAGTGGGACGAAGTGATACTGTTTTTCTAAGAAATTTGAGTTTGGCCGAAATGTTACTGGGCCGAAGTGTTACTACATCAAAAAATATACCTCTATGGAGGCATCGACGTTCAACGCTAGAAATCAGCTGTGCGCTTGAATGTTATTGTTATGCTTTAAAGTATTTTCCTAACCTAGCTTTTGTTTGTAAAATAACGTTACTGAAGACGATGAGTGAAATGGATAATGAAAAATATTGTAGTAAACCCATGTATATTGTCGGGTCAGGTAAAATCTTGTACGTTACACGTACACGTTGCGCAAGAGCGTGTTTACATCTCTTAGGTGAATTATGCAACTCGCTTCCGCTCGTTGCACAACATTCACCTGCGTGATGTAAAAACGCTCTTACTACACTTGTAATGTAAATAGCTATTTTCATCCGTATGCTCATGCTGTGTTGTGCCACAGGAAACATACATATAGTAGTATGTTTTCTGTGGCTAGTATGTTTTCTTTTCTGTGGTTGTGCTGAGTGAGTATGCATGCACCACTCCACTAGCCAGCCACTACACCCATGGTGGAATCCTTTTACCATGCTCTACTACAAGGCAGAGCGTAGCGAGAGCGGTGAACGTACCGGAACCGGACCGGACAGAGGGACCGAGGTCGTGGTGAGTCAGAGCGAGTCAGAGCAGCGTCACAGCTGACAGCACAATTCCCCCTCTCCTTCTAAGATACCGCCTCTGTCTCGCTCTGTGACTGTGATTGTGATGATCTCATTGCCTTGGCATGCTGTTTTTCCTTCCTCCACCTCCACCACTGACCATCCATCCATTCTGTTCCAGTGTTCTGTGTTCTGTGGTTCTGTCTCACCTCACTGTCTGTCTTCATCAGTGTCTTCTGTCAGTTTCAACCTGTGTGTACAGCGGATTCCACACACTTGCAGTTTGTAGTGTTTTAATCGTAGTTACCCTTGTTTGTTAGTGTCAGAAAGTTTGAGTGAAGGTTTCTTCTGTTGCAGGTTTATTAACTTAATTCATCGAGTATTACAATGAGCCGCTACTACCCATCCCAGGTAAGATAGGATATAACTTAGTACGGTACGGTACAGTAAGTTATTTTCGAAGTTAATAGCACAATTCACATTTATTGATTGATTATATGCCATTTTAATGTCAATATTACCCTCACAACCCACACTTAGAAAGATAATTATGTTAATTTAAGTAGGCTATAACTTATGTATTATTTGATTACCTAAAATTAATTAAACATTAACTTAATAAACACCTCTAGGTCGGACGTATTTAATCTGGATCTGAGGACTGGATTATGAAAATTGAAGAAGGAATCCATTTAGTTCTTCTCTTCACTTAACCGAATGGATTAGCTTAGGTTTTGACCATGTAACCGTTATGTCCCATAAGGATAATAGTGTAGTGGCAGTTTTAATAAAATGAATAAACAACAAATTGACACTGTTCTAACCTAACCTAACCCAACCAAACTTCTCAAACAGTTTAAAATTTGTTTTATAAGTTGAAAAAGACATGTGAGGTTGATAGGTTGGATGTTATGTGGACTCGTCACTGTATTAAGTCCTTTGAAGGTAGGTTAGATTAGGGAAGTTAAAGTTTACAATTTAAATAAGTATCTAGGGGCAATTATATCAAGCAACAATATAGTGAAGAAATGGAAATAAATTATAGGATTCTTTGCGACACTCACAAATTAATTCTACTTTCGGTAATAAACTACACGAAAAGTCCATTTTTACATATTTTATACAATAACTTGTTTATTTATAGAGACACGACCTCGTACTCAATAACTATTATTGTAGTCCACATTTTTAGCATTACAACGACGTTTTAACCGATGTTCTATCTTTTACCGTTTTCGAAATATCAGCGTTTTAACACATAGCGCAAACCGTTTATGTTTGCCCCCTCCCCCCCACCTTATCGACCACTTTTGAAATAGGCGACATACGCAATTTTGATCACCACAGTCCATATTACAATAATCAGCAATAACATTGCGTACTGCTTTCACGCATGCTCAAACCCCCTCAGCTCCTGGACTATAGACCTTTTTGAAATGACTCCTGATATCGACAAATACCTCATTGATGTAGATACCTCATTGATGTAGAATTAAACGGCAAACGTCAACGTTTTGAAGTCGATTCCGGTGCAAAATTTTCCCTACTTTCAGAAAGTGATTTCAAGAACCTCGAGCTTGGCCTTCCCCTACAGAATTCTAATGTTTGCTTTCGGTCATACACAGGTAACATCATTAAGCCTGTTGTAAAGGTATCTGTTACTGTAACGTACAATCGTAAACAGATAGTTGATGAATTACACATCGTACCTGCAGGACATGACGTTTTGTTAGGTAGACAGTGGATTAGAGGGTTGGAAATCGAGCTTCGACAGGTGTATTTTTTTTTTTTTTTTTTTTTAATAGAGGGCCAGGCTTCAAGTAACCATGGGATTGCAACGCAGCTAGAACAGCTTATTGTGCACCCTCATTCACAGGTCCTCATTCTTTGTCAAATCCCAGGTCCTTTGTGAACCGTGAGATCCTTTTGACAATGGTGACCCGTTCTTCCCTTTGATCTCCAGTCGATAGGCCAAGGGATCTCATGCGCAGACCTTGTAGGGCTGGGCACATAAATATCACGTGGAATGCTGTCTCCTCCTCCTCCTCCACATTTCCTACATAAGAGGCTTTCAACTTGAATTCCCATCTTGTGTAAATGTCCACGGAATACCCAATGGCCGCTAATAAAGCCAACCACCTTCCGCAGGGTCTTCCTACTCAGCCCAAGGGCTTCTGCCGCTATCGCACCTGTAGGTGCCTTCAGCATTCTCTTTGACTGTACATTTCCTTCTGTTCTTTCCCAGTTCCTTTGATGTTCTATGCCCATCCACTGGCGAACAGCTCTCCGTGCTGTGTTGTAAGCAATACCACACGTCGGCTCTGGACCCATGAGCGGGCTTTCAGCTCCTTTGTTTGCCCACTTGTCAGCTCCCTCATTGCCAGCAATACCTTTGTGCCCTGGAACCCAACTAAGGATGATCCTGTTGGTCTTTCCCAGGGCTTTCATGGCTTGATGACAGTCCCATACAGCCTTGGAGGTAAAGTCGAAACTGTCAAGTGCCATTAGTGCTGCTTTGCTGTCTGAGTTCATGTATATAGTGTGGCCTATAAGACCGCGCTTCAAACACACTCTTGCACACTCAGACAGGGCCACCACTTCTGCCTGGAATACAGTGGCCATTTTTCCCAAACTTACGCACAACTGCACCTTGGGTCTGACTCCATATATTCCAGCCCCCGTGCCCGTTGGCTTTTTTGAGCCATCCGTATACCAGGTGATCCCCCTTTTCATGAATTCAGGTTCACCCTTATCCCAGGCATCCCTGTCAACAATGTTGACATTGTATGGTTTTTCTAGATCTGTGATCTTCACCATCTTGTCTGGTAGCATTTCCAAGGAGTTCTTTTGCACCTTGTCTACAATTCTTGTGTGCTCACTGGAGGCATTATACTTCCAGTTGCCACTACAAGCCATTCTGTAGGCTGCCATCCTTGCCTCTCCTTTCACAATGATGTCGAGAGGTGGCAGGTTTAGCACTACTTCCAGGGCTGCAGTTGGAGTGCCTCTCATGGCTCCTGTGATGCTAAGGCATGCTACTCGCTGGATCTTTTGTAGTCTCTTTACAGCGGTAGTTTGCATTACCTTGGTCCACCAGACCACCGAGCCATACACCATCATCGGTCTTGCGACCCTAGTGTATAGCCAGTTAGTCATTTGTGGACTTAGACCCCAGGTCTTCCCAACAGCCCGCCTCATCATCATAAGTGTGGTCTGAGAACGTTGCGTTATATGTGCCAAATGGCTGTTCCAGGTGAGCTTGTCGTCCAGCCTTATTCCTAGGTACTTGAACTCCCTCTTAACCTGGATCTGATTACCGAAGAGAGTTGGTACTCTAGCGATATCAACATTTCTCTTCCTTGTAAATGGTACCATTACAGTCTTCATTGGATTGACCCTCAGACCTTCCTGGTTACACCACCTCTCCACTATGGACAATGCCCTCTGCATGAGTTCCAGGCAAGTGTTCATAAATTTTCCTCTTATTAGTACAACAATATCGTCAGCATATCCTTGAGCGTACATGCCCTGTGCATTGAGCTCGGACAGGAGATCGTCAACCACCAGATTCCACAGATTTGGTGACAAGACGCCACCCTGTGGACACCCTCTTTGGGCCTTGACCTCTCTCACCGTCCCACACAGAGAAGCTTGCGCTCTCCTACTTTCGAGCATGTTGCCTATCCACCTCACTACAGTGCTTTCCACATTTCTTGACACCAGCTTTGATACAATAGAGCGAGTACTGGTGTTGTCAAAAGCTCCTTCTATATCAAGAAATGCAGCCACCGCTATTTCCTTGTTCGAGATAGCACTTTCAATCTTACTAACCAGCGCATGCAGGGCTGTTTCGCATGACTTTCCCTTCTGGTAGGCATGTTGGTTCGGATGCAAAGGATGGCTTACCAAGACCCTATCCTTTATTCGTCTATCCACTAATTTCTCCATGGTCTTCAGGAGAAACGATGTAAGGCTGATTGGTCTGAAAGCCTTGGGCACAGCATATGTATCCCTTCCGGGCTTCGGTATGAATACCACCCTTGAGGTCCTCCATGCTGTTGGTATAACTCCACTGGCTAAGCTGGTCCTAAAAAGACGCACCAAGGGGAGTATCAACTGGTCCCCACCTTCCTGCAAAAATCCAGGATAGATGCCATCGGTACCAGGAGCTTTAAATGGTTGAAATGCCCTAAGCGCCCATTTGATACCGTTATAGGTAATCACAGCCCTAGCGCAGGCCCAATCTTCTCTTACCGTCCGCACCCTAGTCTCTCTTTCTATCTCCACCTGGACTGTGCTCTGCGGTTGTAAGGATCCTGGGAAGTGAGCGCTCAAAAGGCTCTCCAGCACTTCTTCTGGGCCGTCTGTATATGTACCATCCTCCTTAAGCATTGTTCCTAAAGGATTAGCTTGACCTCGAGCTAGTACAGTTGAACCTCTATAAGACGAATTTCAAGGGGTACGGGAAAAATTCGTACTATAGAGGTATTCTTAATAAAGAGGGTCGTTTTATCGAGGTTTAATGCTGCTGTTATTCTTCTTATAGAGGTTTCTCCTCGCTCCAAGGTTTTTCCAAACAATGACTGAGGAAGGAGGAGGGATGGGTGGGGGTTTCATGTTGAGACAAGCTTCTGTTTGTTTTGAAAACTACGTACTATGGAGGTTAAGATTATGATAAATTCGTCTTATAGAGGTCACGTTCGTCTTGTAGAGGTTTTGTGCTGAGAATATTCGTTGTATAGAGGTTAATCAGTCCCAGCCCATGTCACAAACAAATTCGTCTTATGGAGGTTTTTAAATTAATTACTACGTTGTATAGAGGTGTTTTTAGCATTGACCTATATGAAAGTGTCAAGGGGATTAAAAAAAATTCGTCTTATCGAGGAATTCGTTTTATCGAGGTTCGTACAAACGAGGTTCAACTGTACCCTATGAAGCTTTGCACATTCAGAAACACTCTCCATGTTCTGACAGAATTCTCTCCATGACTCTTTCTTAGCTCTTCTAATTGTCCTATTGTAAACAGTGAGCATCTCTGAGTAGTTGTTCCAATTTCCTGTACGTTTTGCCACATTATACAGTCTGCGAACCTTCCTCCTCAGAGCTTCTAGCCCCCTATTCCACCAGCAGGCTTGCCTAGACATGTTCTTTACAGTCTCTGGGCACGCTTCTTGGTATGAGCTTAGTAGGCCTATGGCCGCATTTAGAGAATTCGTCATACTCTCCACCCCATGCCCTTCTGTGTCTTTTAATTGTCTTAGTCTGTCCCCTAGCACCTCTCGATACTGGTTCCAGTCTGTCCTTCTAACGTTCCTATAGGTCTCTTTTACACAGATCGAACCTATAGTGAATTCAATGTAGCTGTGATCTGACGCTGAGTGATCATCAGATACCCCCCGTTTTACAACCTT